TCACTGCAGAGATCCCCCTGCTCGGAGGGGCGTCACTGCAGAGATCCCCCTGCTGGGAGGGGCGTCACTGCAGAGATCCCCCTGCTGGGAGGGGCATCACTGGCGAGATCCCCCTGCTGGGAGGGGCGTCACTGCCGAGATCCCCCTACTGGGAGGGGCGTCACTGCAGAGATCCCCCTGCCGGGAGGGGCGTCACTGCAGAGATCCCCCTGCCGGGAGGGGCGTCACTGCAGAGATCCCCCTGCCGGGAGGGGCGTCACTGCTGAGATCCCCCTACTGGGCTCCATGGGTCATGGCCACCTCACTAAGGAGTGGGTGTATCTGATTAAGGCAAAACTGAAGTCACCATCTTAAAGCCTGTCACACTACACAAATCTGACCAGTAGGTTGCAGGTTCGAATCCCATTGTCAGCAGAGATGTCTGTTAGGCCCTTAACCCCCTGCATAAATGGCTCAGACCTCAAGCCTCCCTCTCACCTCTGTGTGTGTGTGCGTCTCTAAGGAGATCAAGACAGGATTCTAATGTAGCCTCTACTTGTGGAAATTGCTAATAAATCTCTTATTTGAAACATGATACAGAAATCACAAAATTTGTTGGGGGGGGGGGGGTCACTGTGTGCTCCGTAATATAGAGGCTAATCTCTGCTTTCCCTGTTTAGAAACCCGATTTTCTGTCCGTCTTTATCAGCCTGTCCTCATCTGGAATGGCAGTCAGCTGACTGTCTGAGCGGGGAGTCCCTTTCGGGGTCCGGAAGTCAGGAGGGACCATCTGGTCATTCCGAAATTCGGAAAGGGCCAGAAAACAAACTTTGGCCCAACCTACTTTTCCAAAGCGGTTGTTTTCCCCCCATAAACATGTGCGACCTGTGTGCAGACTGCCGACGGAATGTGCAGACTGCCGACGGAATGTGCAGACTGCCGACGGAATGTGCAGACTGCCGACGGAATGTGCAGACTGCCGACGGAATGCTGCTGTCAAAGCAAAAATCATGGCAAACCATACAAGCGAGAGAATTAATTGCTTTTGCATCACTGAGGATCTGCCCAGATTCGCCTTATGAGCATAATCTGCAGAATCTGCCCAAAACCAAACCATCTGCTCTCCACAACACAGCCCACTGTCTGCTTAACAACCATATATGTAAGCATGTTATACTGACACATGGGAAAAATTCCATTTCCGAAAAAAAATTAAGACATTTATTTTGATATCCTACGTTAGCAATTTCCAAAGCTCATTTTTGCACCCCCTCGATATATTTGCCTTTTTCACTTAATGTACCTAATTACAGGCTTGAAGATTAAACGATTTAATTAATCAGATTGTCTGGTGGTGGAACAGAACATGTACATGAAACGTTTGTGGCTGTCAAGGAGGAATTTGGTATAACCTAGGATAAGAGGACAAAGAGGACTATAAGTTATGGACTTAGAATTCGGGAGGCAAACGCCGTTTCCTGCATAATAATGTGACATACATTTATTTGGTATAAAGCGATCAAACTTGTAGTAACGAAGTACTTTAAGGCCAATTGGATATCACGTGTACTTTGGCGCCCTCTTGTGTTACACATTAATAATTGGCCTTGACCATATGTTAAGGGAAAGAACTGTCGTACAGTTATTCATTTAGTGTTCTATTGTTATGTTGCTTAGCGAACACACTCGCCATTCAAATTATATGTCATGTTCCAAACCACCGCACCTAATACCAAATTTGATAATATTATACGCTAAAGGAACAGGCTATTCCGCTAACTACCAGCGGCGCCCCATGAGGGGGAGAGGGCGCCCTGCTCCCGCGGTACCTTCTCCAGCTCCCTGGGAATCCGCATGCAGGTGTAAACCCGCTGCCGACGCTCCATGAACTTTGCCTCATTGTGCTGCAGGAAGTATCCTCTGGTCAGCTCTGCACTAACGAAGTGCAGGATCGACACATCTGTGTGGCACAAACAAACAAAAATAAATAAAATCCCAAGAAGCACTGGGCACAAAGAAGGGGACACTGGACGGGGTTGTCAGTCCATTAAGACCACGCACAAACACTGGGGATAGTTTAGGGACATTTGTCATAAGTCTATTATTCTAACATGTAAGCTGAGTCACGTTTTTGAAAACCACCACTGTGCCTCATTACACGATCACAGGTTCATAACCGCATAGCGGAGTGTCTAACAATCTCGGAATCGCCCCGCATGCGTTTCACACTGGAACGGATTCGGCGCCCGCGGCTCGAGCCTGACAGTTCGTTAGCAAGCCTTAACCTACCAGCCGGTTAGTTAACTAGCAGACTCTGTCCTTACTAGCGTCGTGTAATGTTAACCAATCATCACGAACTGTAAGTGCTGTTAGACAACGAAAAGCGTTTACATGCATCTTTCAACTACATGGAACTTTGTAACAGTTCAAGGTCCCGACTTTAATGACAAACAATGAACTTTTGTATTATGAACTATCGATTATTCACTTTCTGTTTCGCAGGTACCACCGTGTTGACCTTAACACACACAAATAAAACATTTATTTCCCTAAATACTCCTCCAATCCCCTTATTGAGACTGTGACACATTGCCAGGCGGGACAGCATTAATCACTGGGCTGCAGACGCGCATATTCTGGGTGTCGCTATATAAAAGTCTCAAGTTACAAAAGTCACAAAAGTGTCAAGTAAAAAGCGTGTAAACAAGCGTGCATAAATAACACACATAAATGCACCATCAGGCTTTAACGAGACAGTAACTCCAGCTGCAGCTAAATGCACTCGCCTGCCAGCGTGCGCTTCTCTCTTTTTGCGGCACTAGCTCCGCAGGAGCCCACGGTCTCTGCCAGCCTCGACCTGCTTCCCATTGGGGTTTCCTGGTGCTGGGATCCCTCCCGTCCCCTCCGATACAGCAGTTCCTCGTGCCGGGGATCCCTCTCATATAGCAGGTCCTCGCCGGGGTGCCCAGACTCTCTCCCTCCTGCCCTCCTCTCACGCGGTATAGCGGCTTGCCGGTGCACCGCGGCTGCCCCCTGCCTTTAGGTATTTCAGCGATCCTAAGTTACGTTACGAAGTGGCTTTTATTCCATGGAGTAAGTGATTGCGAAAGAGCAACCGTCAGATTGTTTTGAAGGGGTGGGCCCCATACGACACCTACGACGTAGGTCTGGGAGGTGAACTGTCCGGGGGCTTATTTACGAAAGAATATACACATGTATATGTCTCTCATAGAGAAAGACGGATATGATTTGCAAAAACGACATAGTTTCCCCCTTGGATTGAACACGGTCCTCCTACAAGTTGTCACAGATTTTTCTTCATTAAATGCTGTCCCTGCAGCCGCTAACATGCGGAGCACAGTCACCACAGAGCTCTTTACCCTGCAGGCAGCTACAGCCAAAGTCCACAGGAGCGCCCGCAGGGATCCCGTAGCCTGCTGCACCAGCACGTCATTGGGATTGATGTCCCGGTGCAGCACCCCCTGCTGGTCACCTCCAGTACAGCATTAAGCACCTGTTTATATATCACCTGCAGGGGGTCACAGCAGGAGACATGTGCTTCAGATCAGGGCGGCAGTATGGCGTGTGACCCCAAGGCTGGGGGTAGGAGGCTGGACACCAATAAAATTATGATTGTTGCAGCACTGGGATACTTTTGATAAATATGTGAAAACTTATAACCACGACTCACTCATATGAACATGACACTGGGATTGGATCTTTGATGTTTTGTCGCTCAGTACGCTTAAAGGGTCCTTCCTTTTTCGATGTTCTGTTTTTGTTTGATATAATTCCTTGAAAGATGGCTGTTGCTGCCTCCTCTGTCCTGACCACATCCCCCGAAAAGCCTTGCAGCGGCACCAGGAACCGAAAGGGGATATGGATTTACTCATGTGATTCTTTTCTTCTTTTTCAAAGGCCCGTCTCCTCCCAGGTATGTCTATTCCCCCCGGTTGCTTCCACCCTATGCATGCACAGGTGCCCCCCCCCCCCAAAGACTCTCTGGTGTTCTCTCTCATTATTGCCAGGGTGGTCCGTCTTCCGTGTGTCAGCTCTGTCGTTTTTTCACCAAGGAAGAATCAGTGCTACCAAAATTTCTCCATCTGCTCAACATGGCCCTGACTGTGATTCTGTGTCTTTGCACGCCATTCTGGGCTGATAGGCACAGATGTTCTCTTCTGAAATATTACGGTGATTGGTTGCAACTTCAACATTCCCTGATCTTTTCCCCTTTGAGACAATTTGTAAAAGACAGAGCCGCTAAGAAAAAGACACAAACCTTAAAAAATATATTACAAAAAATATAGACAGGGGGCAGTATTGCACACAGAATGCTATTGTTGTAAGAATGTAGCGATTCTGCCTCAGGAAATACTGGTAGATATTTAATTTATTCCAGGTGCGTTACATTCACTCCCACAAAAAAAAAAAACTAAATCCTAACAGAGAATTAATAAGCATCAGTTCCAGTCAGTGATAGGAGTAACAAGGCTTTAAGTCCCACAATAGACTTGTTTGTTGTACAGTAAGTTTTTTCCCCCTGTTTTAACCAGTAAATTAGGAAGTGGATTAAATCATTCATTAATCTCACCCACTACAGAAACCTCACTTCCTCATTAAAAGGAGTCCCAAGCTTTAAGTTACAGAATTATTGTAACTTATGTGCAGATATCTGACGTCAGATTGAAAGTCCACTTTCCAGCATAGCTTGAATAGCGAGGAACACCACTGACAGGCTGCCTTCTACCAGAAGATAATGAAGAATTTGTTATATAAGCACATTTTATTGGCACACATTATCTCAAAGCATACATAACACACATTAGCAAGAAACATATATTTCTGACGGTACTTCACAAGCTTGCACAAGAGCATTAACAGACCAAAGGAATTTTAAAATGTGCTCCTTTATTTCCAAATCATCACAGAAATACAATAGAAAAAAACAGCCGAGGTCATTTTCCTTTGCAAAAATACGGAGTGTAAATCAAACTGCATTGAAGACAAACAGAATAAGACACAATAAAACACAACAGCATCTCTATAAAGCTTCCCTCTAAGAAATATATTTAATGACCTTGGGATGACCTTTGATTATTTACACAGGATCAAACACGTCAACACTGGTCCTTAACAGATAATCAAATACAAAAGTTAACACAAAAAAGGAGAAGCTTGACTATTATTGGAGTCATTGGCACCACTTTAGATTCTTACTGTTAATTATTGTGACTTTCTCAGTACGATGGGGGGGCAGATGTGTACAAGTCCGACTCAAACTTATTGCCCTTCACAAAAAAATGACGTGTCCATATCAAACTGAGGTCAGGAAGAATTTCAGGCCTTAACGACGTACTCGTAACACTTCTTAATGCATTGCTTGGAAACATTATAATTAAACTTATTCAGGAAAACGAAGAGAAAAAATGTACAGTTTTAATAATAGAATAAAAAAGTCTTATGACAAATATCGACCAAAAATACCAACTCTTACGATTTAATCCTAAATCAAATTTTAATATAATCTAAATGTAGTTCTTAATCTTCACCTAAATCCTAACCTAAGTCTAACCTAAAATACCACTTACTAATTCCTAATTTGTAAATTTACTCAGGAAAATGTTTACATTGCTATTTAAATCAAGTCTGTTCAGTTGTGTAATAAGCCTTCATCTCCAATGTTTGTTGTTTAGAACAGGAGCATTTTCATTTCTTTTAGCTGCCAGTTTTTTACAGTTGAGTTATCGTATTTCTGGGGACAAACGTCATTAGGAAATAAATTTAGAAGAAATATATAAAATTAAATAACAATAATCAAATACTGTAAAAATGCAATTCAGGAAATCAGAGTTCTTTTTTTTTTTTTACTCCCCGCATGCAGGAGCGATTTGGAACAAAAAACCCCAAAGAAATGAAAGTGAAGAGTGGGAAGAGAAAATACAAACAAGTAGAAACTGAGCGTCTCGTGTTAGACGCTCCAACTGGGCTGAGTAAGAGAGCTGGCTTCCATGCAACCAGCTGTGGCCACACGGGGGCGCCAAGACAGCGCTTGCACAGATTGCATATCGACTTGATGGCAAGTCTTCCGGATTCTTCACTTCGCCAGTTGCTGCTGAAGGAGACTCTTTGCTGGGATACTGTACATACAGTTAATGTTGGTCTTCCACATTTTTCCAACATCCAGCTAAGAAATATTTGCATGCCTTTTTACAAAAAATGTGTATTTAGAGTCATTATATAAGCAATTACATATATATATATATATAAACTCTCTATTCCCTTTCTTTGCTGTGGATTGAAATCAATGCCTGACGTTTGTGACGCAGCATGACATGGGCTGCAATGCCATGGTCAGAGAGCGCCGCCCAAGTGGTGACACCAGATTACTGTGGTGGTGGTGGCACTGTGACCTCAGGTTTAGTGTCCTGGCTGTTAGGAGGCTTGCTGTTCCACTGGCTGTTATTTCCCAGGGCCGGCGAGCCGCTAAAGTCGTCCTCGTCATCGATGCCATTGGTGGCGTCATACTGTGTGTTTTCCAGACGTGTGATGAGCCGCTCGTCCTCGTCCCCGAACTCGCCGCCCATCAGTGTCGGCTCCCCGACCACCATCACGTCCTGAAAAATCACCACGGGAGAGCGTAGCACCAAGACCCCAGCACGTCCTGAAAAATCACCACGGGAGAGCGTAGCACCAAGACCCCA